TTTAATTCGCTCCGCATCAAGCCATACGTAATCCGTTCGGCCCTCATATGAAGTGTAAGCCTCATCCTAAAAACTGCAAGTTCGTCAACGCATTCATCTTTCGAGATTGAAGGCTGAATGCTGTTGAATCGTAGGAGAAAGTTGAAAGAAGTGAAAAGGCTAGCAAGGAAAAGAAAGTTCGCTCTGAAAGAATGGTTGGAATTTTCAAGTATGCGGTAGCAGAGGCCCCTCCCTTTCCCCTCCAGAGAATGGGTGGTAATCATTAAAAATAGTCGGAGAAATAAAATCTGCGTGACTTCTACCACTACAATCCCGTCGCTTGTTTGTTTTATCAAGCAACGGACTGCGCATTCTAGAGAAGTATGAACAAATCAAAGTTCATGATTGACGTACCCGAAGTGGAAAAAGTTCCTCTTTCAAAAGTTTGTCGTTGATGATGCTCTCGATAATCCAAGATGGATCTACCACCTAAATCAACGTTTACTGACAGAACCATAAGTGGGACTTGCATACCTTAAACTTCTGTCTACGAGCCTCAAGCACACGTTCTCCTTCACTGCCACCTACCACATGGGTCACAGCCACCTAGGATGATTGGATGATGAATTCAACAACAGCAGGGCTTGCGTAAGCTTACTAATTCCCCTTTGCTTCGTTTCGTTAGCGATTCTTGTACTCGTCCACCAAATCTCTTTATGAGCTCCGACAAGACCAGCTGGTAATGAGACCTTTCTTGATTGAATGAAGAGCTTCAATTATGTGACTTACTCTCTCGTACTCAATAAAACAGCTGACGACAATAACAGTGTTTAGAAACACTTGGCTTCCCTCTACAGCGGGTATTGGTCTGTAGAGAGGGTGACTGGAGATTTTCAGTATGCGGTTGTTCAGCAGGCAGCTTTTCTGCAAACTTTTCATTTCACGTAAGACTTTTCATTTCACGTAAAACTTCTCATGACTAAGAGGACATTGTTACTATTCAATCAAGAGAAGAATGAAGAAGGCAACCCACCACGAAGAACACAGTAACCACTTGGTCGTAACTCTCCTTTGGTGGCAAATCTCCACATTCGATATGATCACAGACTAGATAATGCACATAAGAGGCGTCGTTGGAAGAAACGATAGCGCCTAAATATAAAGCCAAATGAAAAGAAGCCGTAGGAGACAGTAGCTCTATGCAAAACATGACGAACGAAGATTCGAAATTAAAATATCTGAGATCAAGCCAACACCTCCGGCAGAACGTATTTCCTTGGAAGTTTGTGCCTCGGCGACTGGTGTTACTCTCCACATCCGAAACTTCAATGCTCGAAAAAAGGCGCATATTTAGTCAAGTGCAAAAGCAAAACTAAGACGTACCGGAAAAGACTCGATGTATCTGGGGTCGCTGTGTTCCCAAGAGGTGCCAGATTCAAGTAGTCAGAGGCAACTAGTTCTTTACTGGTCGTAGTTGCACTTGCAGACCTCGATAAAGCAGCGGTTTCGTTGCGCTAAAGTCAAATTTCATTCGTGAGATTG